TTATTTGATGAACAAACTGATGTTAGTACATACACATTAGTTTGAGGGGGAGTGTTAGAAAATACGTCGTAGATAAATATTGTAAATATATGGGTATCTATGTTTGTTGAATAGGATAAAGTTGTAACAACTCTCTACTCCTCTTTAATTTGTTGTTTATAGCCTCCAATGCGTACATACACATCCAAAAAGTATTGTATAAATATATGGGGTTTTCCCAATGTTATACATAGGAAAAATATGATTATTTATTTTTTGACAATAATTTCATGCTTCTCATAAGTCGAAATATTTTTTTTTTTCAACATAGACATCAAAGCAAGAAATTGATTCACAATGATATCTGGTACCCTATTATAAAGAAAGTTGACGTTCCAAACCATTTTTCCATCAATAAGAGCGAATAAATCAGCTACTTTAGAATGGGAGTTGGACACCTGATTGAATAACTCAGTGAAAATAACTTTTAGGGGCCTACCTCCTAGTCATTTGGAATGCCAAAAGGAAATAATCTCCCTTGTAGCAATCTCCCACAAAAAAAAAAGAATCAAACCGCACTGTATGTATCTCAAATAGTCACATCCCAAGACAGAATAGAGACCGTCTAATTTTGGAGTACGAAAACTAAGTATTAAGGAACTCAAAACTCATGTATAGTTTTTAAATAATCATCTAGTGATTCTTAAGTTGATTATAAAATTTTAGATTGAAAAATTATCAGTCTTTCCCCTGAAGGAATAAGTGCATCGTGTACTCCTGCGAGTTGAAGACCATAAGTCGATGGCATTGTTCGATACCATCATCGACATGCAATGCTTTCATATGCAAGCCCATGTCAGCCATACGCGGCAAATGAAGCGGAATTGCAAGAACATAGGAAAGGAGTCGAGCCATATTATAGGTATAATTGAAGGGGATTCAGCTAATGTGTTCTCTCCGCGAAAGCAAAGCATTCCCATGAGCTTTGCAAGGTTTGAAGAACCAACTTTCAGGTACATGAACAAGGAAATAGAGCAAGATTTGAATAGCGGAAAGTTACTTTTAGGCACATAAACAGTGAAAGGAATGGAGAAGCTGATCAATTAGCCAAACCCAAAGCATACAAGGAGGCATTTACCATAAACCACTCATGATATGAGTTATACTTAGAATAGAAGTTAATGGTGATTGAAGCTCATAACGAATGATGGAGAGGCAGCTCCACAATCCTCATAAGGCCTGTGATATGATTTTGTTTTTTTAAAGTTCTACTTTGAGTATATAGCTGATTATGCCTTTTATTTTTTTTTATTTATCTTTTTTATTTTTATTTTTTTTACCGAGATCGCCTCGGCCAAGGTACTTTGACTAAAAAGTGGGGAAAAAAGTTAAAAAGGAGGTAAAAGATTTCTAAAAAATAGTTAAATATAAAAAAAATTAATGTAAATCATTAGAAGACCAAAGAAGATGAAAAAAAATCTATAAAAGATGGATTATTAGAAAAATTGATTTATACCTTGAATATTTCAGAAATATTAACAAAGTGAAAAAATATGGAAGTTCCTAAATCATCTTAAGAACTAGCAAAATCATCTAAACAATATTTCTAACAAATGTATTCGTGTTTTCTATTTTTATAATTTTTTTACCTTTTTTTTTGTGAGTTATTTGGTGCCCATTGAATTAGGCTCCCAACTTGCGTTGCCTCTAGGTCTGGCCGAATTACTCGGTCCAAGGGCGCCCCCGTCTTGACAATTGTAAGGATGAAGTTTCTGAAAGGCCTAGGCTTTATGAAAACCAAATAAAGCCTCACTTCAAATCCTTATCTAGAAAGCACTTTCGGTCATAAAAATATCCATGATGGCTTTAAAATCAATTTTCAATACCGGGAATAAATTTTGAAACTCAAAAAATCGTACAGATCTTGTGAATCTTTGAGTACTTATTTTTAGGGCGAAATGGACGGTCTAGATAATTTGTTAGAAATATATATCTTTTAGAGTTTGAAATCCTAATTTTTTTCACAACCATAATGTTCAAGTAGAGATGATTGATGTAGATGTTTTCGAATGTTTGAATTACAATTTTTATGAGTTATTAGGTGAGGTTCTACTTATTTTAAATGGGCTTCATCCCTATCAAACCATTTTCCGTTTTGTTATCAATGAAGTCGAACATTAAAAAATATACATGTGTGCTTTGGTCAGCTTGCTGAACTCTCTACTTCATGGCATCCTGGACTAGAACTTCTCCCTGTTTTAATTATGAATCTAGTGTTAATGGCCTTAAGCCACCTAGCCAAGAGGCCCAACCCCAATTTTATCAAATCTGGATTTAATGTATAATATGGAGCATAGGGTACAAGAAGCATTTCAAGATTCAATCATGTCCATAAAAGGTTGAGATCCGACTTATCACGGTTTTCTCTCATACGATTTGGGTGGATCATTTTTAAACAAGTTGTCATTAAAAGCTCTCCTTAATCCTACTCTTCTTTCTTCACTGCCTCGGAGGACCCTCCATTTGAAAATCTGTCACTGCTGTTCCATACTGTTCATAAAAAACTCACTCTAATCACGACTGTAATGGAGATACCTGTGGTGCACTGAATATGATAGACTCATTAGGCATTTTCACCAGTTATATATGAAATTGGCATTGTGTACATTGTCGCTTTGCTGAACAGGTATATATGGATAGGCTAAGAGTGCCCCATCATTATTGCAAACTGTATATCTCTGTCCTTTAATGGAGTGTTATAAGGATTGGACTGGCCTTCGAACAGGTGAGGAATTTGTTTTAGTCAAAATTGATCCAATCGAATAAATAAGAAATACGAATGTTAAATTTAAAAATGGGTTATATTAGGGTATTCGAGTATTTCTTTAATGAATTCAAAATTTTTGGACACTATTGACCCCTATGTTGTACTGCAATTTTTTTTTTGAGTAAATGCATGTTTGGTCATTAGAAAGGGTATGCTAGATATTTTTATAAAAAACTGGTGGCATTTTACTGTTGGTTAATAAATCATTATTACTCATGTGAGTATTGTCACACCTTATGTGGGTGATGTCATTATCTATTATAGTTGATAAATTATTATCTTTCTATCAATACTTTTTATTTTATTATTAATTAATTACCTAAAATTCTCCTATACAAAAAAATTGTTACATGGTAGATAAGGGCATCAACTGTCTAAAAATGTTGAGTACCTTAAAAAAATACTCATATTTGTCAGTATCTTAATATACCCTTTAAAAATATGAAGAATATTATAAAAATGATGTTCAACTTTGTTTAGTTTGTTGAATCATTTAAAACAAAATGGGGGATAAGCCAAAACTAATCAAATATTAATCTTGACTAATTTTAAACCAAATGAAATTCTTTTTTTTGACCATAAAGACAAAAGCACTTGTCCGTAGTGAGGCCAATCTAGCGGCTCAGCTGGTGATGACTATGGAGTATAGTTGAAGTGGGCATCTCTTATTTCATCTTCTTTGGAATTTGTAAGAATATGTTCATACAAAATGGGTTGGAAGTGAGACCATATATGATTTATTAAGTTGTATGATTTTAAGAAAATGGTTAAGATTAAGATCATCATCATCCGAACCTTATCTAATTGTTTGGGATGGACTATATGAATCTTATTTTGTTGTATAACATAAATTCATGATTCATAAAAAGATATGGTTTCTAAAGGTTGCAACCTTAAACAATCCAAATAAGGCGCACATCCAAATTTTATTATAACATGTAATTTTGGGGTAAAAAATTCTTAGGATTACCTCAAAATCTATTTTCACAACTAATTATAAAATTTTAAACTCAAAAAATAGTTACAATGAAGTATATCTATAAACATATAAAAATCTTGAAAATGGACGGTCTAGATAGTGTATTGCAAGATGCACTCTTTCTAGAACTCAAAATATTTTTTTTTTCATACTCATACATCTCGTTGTCGAGATAATCAATTAGAAGGTTTTTCAACACATGAAATTTTAGACGTCTACTCTTCTCATCAAGACTCATTTAATAAAAATAATTCTCAAAATATAAATTGACCAAAATATCTCTAAACGTTTTCGTGGATATTTTGGTTAATTAAATTTTTACAAATTCTTTTTTTGATATTTTTACTAGATTCTCCTATATTTAAAAAACACCCCTTCAAAATTTCAAGTGATTTTGATTTATAGAAAAACATTAAAATTAAAATATGAAATGCAATCGTGATCATTGGATCAGCTCAGATTGAATCTAAATCGTTGGACTCATATGTAGTTGTAGACTAATGGGCCTACGGCA